TTTTAACTAGTGGACGACGTCGTGCATGAATTTTTTGGGCACCAGTGACTCGTGAATGACGCTTGAGAAACTAGATAGTAAACCAGTACATTTTTGAGATTGAGTTACAGTGAACAACGGCATGGTAAAATCGCTGACTTTGATTGCTTGAATTGACTTTTTGACGGTCGAGTTAATAATTCTACAGCGTTTGACATCGATCAATAGAGCGCAAAAAGTCGGCTCCTATGATTGGCCGTGCAACGTCCGCTATTTCAAGTGTCCAAAAGAAACGTTGTTGCTAACCAAAGTCAAGTTGTAGCGTTTTGAGGCCATAAGTTTTGATCCGCGTGCCATTTGCTGCAGTGAGAACAATATCCGAGACGGTTCTTGCGTTATGATCCAATGGTAACAAGGAGGTCTTGGCTCTTGAATCGACAAGGAAANATCCAATGGTAACAAGGAGGTCTTGGCTCTTGAATCGACAAGGAAACGCTTTCCAGTATGGGAGTCCGTTTTGAAAGTTCTATATGATGGGAAGGTGACGGAAATAACGGTTTCCGCCGCCGCCGTCAGTTATTTGAACCAAATGTACATGGTAGACAGCATTTGTATGTCAGATTGCCGTAAATGTTATGGCAATAACACCAACTATCATTTCGTGGACGCGACTGTGAACGAGAACGAGACAACAATGAATGACGGCGATTATTGTTGGTGGACGACGTGGATTGTAAAGAGAGGCTGTCAGCATATACGGCAGCTAATGCCAAAATCGAGTTTTCGATGACTCGTAGGCGTTTAGATTCGCCGGATGTAGCACCACTTATGGAAACAGAAGCAATGCCATGAGCCGCACTTGCGTCCATTTACTCGGTTGGTTTTGACGACAAGAGTGTCCAAACTTCCATCCTGGCCTGCGATGACGGTGACAATCGAATATGGTAACTTCTGTAACCAAAATTCTTTCAAAGCTGCATCTCCTATTGATTTGGATAGCACGCTACGCATGTCACGTAACAACTACGACGGGTGGCGATCACCTGTCCCGTCGGATTGAACGATGGAGTGGAAACATGTTGCTTGCAGAACGGCGTTAAAAATAAATAAATAGGATAACATAATAAAAATAAAAATCTCAAGATTCGCATTGAATTTAAATGTATTTCTTTCAATTTTTGAAAATCTACCGGATGTCTCATGTATTGAAACATATATTATACGATTAAAAAATAATAACTTCTGGCAACTTAACTTTTGTGAGTCATTGCCTTTTAAGTTGAAAATGTTTTGATAAATTATTTGTTATAATATATTTTTTAAAAGTTTGTATCTAATTCGCATTGAATTATGACTGTAATTATTATCATTGTCCGATATCAATCTATACTAATCAAATTAAAATGATTTGTATCTGTTTCGGTGGATCCCGACTACACTTACCTTTTAGTATTTCAATTCTTTAAAAATATCTTTATTTAATTTGTAAACAAAAAATGTAGTATTGTTACTATATTTTGAACCTTATTAAAAAAAAAAGTAGTCAGTATAGTAACATTTTTTTTTTAATTAACAGAACGTAGTAATTATTTTCTGAGGAAGACGGTGGTAGCTTGCTCGCAGCCTTTCTTGTATACACGAATCTTTTTTATATTAAACAAACAATGTGTATCAATACTAACACCCGGCGCTGATGCCCAGCATTTCAAATCAACGTCAGCCAACAGCAGTAATGCCAACCAAAAACAGTGCTTTTAAGGACCACTTGATAAGCTAGATAAAAAAGCGTTGGAAAATTTTCAGTAGCAAAGAGCATAAACGATTAATAATAACAGAATTTAGATACCACAGGAAAATGTTAATACCGCACCCAACATCAGACGCTGCTTTCACACAAAATGATGTATGCAACGCAATAAAGAAAACCAAAATAAACAAAGCTGCGGGCTTCGATGGGATACATTCTGAATTTTTTTAATTCGCATGTCCGAGAACTCATACCTGGTTAACTATGCTTTCATAATTATATTATAGATACTCCAAAACTACCAAAGAATTTTAGAAGAGCGAAAAAGATTGTGTTATAAAAACCTGGGAAAGACAGTTACGAAGCCGCAGTTACCGTCGTATATCATTACTAAGCGTTACATATAATATATTAGAAAGAATGATATTAGAATGTATAGAACTATATATCGAAGACGTGATCCCAGTAGAGCAGGCTGTACTTAGGGAATACTGAAGATGTGAGGAGCCAGTGCTAGCATTCACAACCCTAATAGAATCTGGATTCCAAAGGAAATTTAAAACTAGTGAAGCTTTCATCGATTCATATCAGCAGCGTACGACACAGTATGGATCTTCACAGAAACGGTCTTTTGAATAAGTTCACTAAGGTCATCCCATGCAAGAAGCTATTTACACTCCTAAGTAAGATGCTCACGAACCGCCGCATCCAAGTATTTCTGGGTAAAGAATTCAATTGGCGCACAGTACTTAATGGTCTTCCCCAGGGATCGGTACTTGCCCCGACTCTTTTTAACTTATATATTCATGATCTGCCCGATACGAAAAGCTTTAAGTTCCAATACGCGGACGTTTTTTTATTAAAATAAAACATTGAGTCAACCTGCCGTCAACCAGACCGTTCATTTTTTTTTGTTCTCCGTTTTTTTTTGTAAAATAAAACATTGAGATGTCGATGATGATGTGAGGCACAACTATGACCGGTGATAGGCCGTCACTCCTCAAGAAATCAACAACAAGTAAAACATGAAATCCCCTTTTTCTACCCCCTTATTAATGTTATGTATATAGCGCTTCTTTTTTTTCTTTTTTATTCTTTTCTTATGAATATATCTATATTTGAAATAATATAGATATAAATATTAAAAATGTTATTATATTTCTCTTTTTATTAATATTTTTTTTTATTTTAAATCAAAACCTAGTAGCTCCGTCAACAAGTATTATCTCGCTTGGCTCGGTAACTAGGTTACTGTCCAGTATTCCCCCTGGGCAGTGGATTAATAGTAGGCCCTCTGGTTTGGCTGAAACATTATAAACACTATGGACAACAGCACTGGTGATAGAATATAGTGCAGCCAAATACGGTGCCCAAGTGTGGTGCAACAGTGCACATGTAAAGTAAGTCGATACACAATTTCATAGGGCGATGAGAGCGATTAGCGTCAGGGTGAAGTCCACTTAGTTACAGAGGTTACCAGTATTAACCAATATAGTTCTATCAGACCTACAAAGAAAGCTTAAAATGGAGGGATTCACTGCTAGCAGAAGATTAGAAGATGTACCAGCACTTAGACTAAAATCAAGGAAGCAGCCTTGAAAAACAGCCTAATGAGATCAGGATTTAAAACTAAAAAGTGCTGGCGCAATGAAGGACTAACTCTACTATACCATTCAAAAACAAAAACTTGGTGTCTGATCGCAATCAAGGTGTTTTACGTATGGAACTAGCTAGATACGAGTAGTCTGTAAAAAATCTTATTCAAACAGGCCATGGCCGTTGCATTGATATGATGTTTAAATGGCGACTCCGAGTTAACCCAGCATGCGGCAACAACAGACAAATAATAAATCGCATTAAACCGGAATGTCAATTGAAGAAATTCAACCAGGGTATCGAAGGAATCCACGCAATAACACCGGAAGCAGTAAAATGGATAAGGAAACTGGACATGCACCTGTAAACTATTCACACTACATCACATCATATTATATTATACAGTGGATTCCGCCTAATGTGGGCACCGGTTAATATGAGCATCCGCTAAATATGGGCATAATGGTCTGTTCCAATTCCAATGTATACCAACATGGGTAAAAAAAATCGCATAATATGGGCATTTGGTTCGGTTTATGTGGGCAATTTTTATTTTATTATAGAGTTAGAATATACATATATATATATATATATATATATATATATATATATGTTAAAACGACTAATTTAATCCGGTTTCGTCATATCTATGACATTATGTTCATCGAAAGTAATAACCTTAGATATGGGTATTATAAAAAACCTCAAGGTGAAGTATAAAATAAAGCTGGTTAATTTTATTCTTGAAAAGATCGAGGAAAAACTTTTTGATGAACTGCTAATCAAATAAATGGTAAAATAAACATATTGCAAGCCATACAGTTTGTATCCGAGAGTTGTCGAGAAGTCAGCTGCACAACCATTATGAATTATTTCGCTCATTGTGGGTTTTCTAATTTTGTTGGTCAACAACATGAGTTGACTGAATTGAATGAACAATTTTTACTTATTCAAAACCACAGCGAGTTTGAAATCATTGATGAAAATGCTCCTTGTTTTGATAATAATGAAGACATTTGTGATTCATTAGTACAAAATGTTCTTAAAAAAAGAAAGTTTGAAGAAAAAGAAGAAGACGACGACGACGAAGAAGAAGAATACGATACTGAACCACCAGTTACAACTAGAGAGGCTAAAAAATGCATTGTTTTGTTGCAGAAGTTCTTTATTCAAGAGGGTAACGAGGGTACCTTACACACCCAAAAAGTAATTTTATTTAGTAAGATGTATGTATGTATTAAGTTTTTAAAAATAATGTACTTTATATTTAATTTAATTAATATACGTGGTAATTTAACATTTTTTTCAATTGTATGATTAACGTGTATAAAATAAATTTTTTTTGATATCATTAAAATTTTTTTAACTAATTCCGTTTTTATGGGCAACCGCTTAATGTCGGCAAACAATTCTGGTCCCAACGTGCCCATATTAAGCGGAATCCACTGTATTTACATTTAAATATGTTATACATCCTCATAACCTATTAAATTTCATTTTAATTTTATATAATTTTTTCATTATAAATATTCTACAATGTCGATTTGTAAAGCGATACGAATAACAATAATAATAATTCTTATCTTTCAAGTAGGTGAAGAGAGAGTAGGATTTATGTAACATGATAACAATGTGAGCAGAAAAAAAAAATTAAAAATGACATAAAGGAAATTTTCTATATTTTCAAATAAAGTGTATTCTAAGGAGGTAAAATATTTTAATATACTATACTATATAAGAACAATATAATCTTATTTAGGTATAGAAGCTTGTGACAATTTATTTAAATTATAATAAAAATAGTCAACTTAGATGAGTAGATATAAAAAAAAAGATATTACAACAGAAAACTAATCAAGACAGCCATTTTCAGAAGCATATAAGATTATATCAGAATGACCATTTTGAATAGCTTTATAAATGGTGCCTCTACTCCATGGACAATGATTTTCATGGGCATATTTTAAACAACGAAATTGACCATTTGCAGCAGCAATTCTTGTAGTGCCCTCGTCCCATTGACACTTATTTTTGTGAACATATTTTAGGCAGTTTAAGTGACCATTTGCAGCAGCTCCACTCTTTGTTCCTATATCCCATTTACAACCATTTTCATGTGCATATATCAAACAATTAATATGTCCACTAGCAGCAGCTTCCCTTGTTGTTCCTTCGTCCCACTTACAACCATTTTCATAAACATACTCTAGGCAGTCTAAATGTCCATTTGCTGCGGCCCCTCTCGTCGTACCTTCAACCCAACTACATCCATGTTTATGTGCATATTTTAGGCAATCTATATTACCATGCATAGCTGCTGCAGCTATTGTATCTCCATCCCAAGGACATCCATTATCATGAACATATTTTAAAAAGCCAATACCATTTCCTGCAGCAACCACAGTTATGCCTTGTTCCCACTCACACCCATTTTCATGACCATATTTTAAGCAATTTATTTCACCATATTCAATAGAAATACGCATAATGTCTTTACTCCAAACACAATCATTTTCATAGGCATACTTTAAGCAATTTAAATTACCACTAGAAGCTGCTGCTTTTGTTGTTCTTTCATCCCACGGACATCCTTTTTCATGTGCATATTTTAAAATTTCTAAATACCCTTTATATGCAGCTTTTGTTGTTGTTCTTTCATCCCATTTACAACCATTTTCATGAGCATATTTTAAGCAATTTAAATTTCCACTAGAAGCAGCTGCTTCAGTTGTACTTTCATCCCACGGACATCCTTTTTCATGTGCATATTTTAAAATTTCTAAATACCCTTTATATGCAGCTTTTGTTGTAGTACTTTCATCCCAATTACAACCATTTTCATGAGCATATTTTAAGCAATTTAAATTTCCACTAGAAGCAGCTGCTTCAGTTGTACTTTCATCCCACGGACATCCTTTTTCATGTGCATATTTTAAAATTTCTAAATTCCCTTTATATGCAGCTTTTTTTGTAGTTCTTTCATCCCAAGGACAGCCATTTTCATGAGTATATTTTAAGCAGTTTAAATTACCACTAGAAGCAGCTGCTTTTGTTGTTCTTTCATTCCACGGACATCCGTTATCATGTGCATATTTTAAAATTTTTAAATTCCCTTTATATGCAGCTTTTGTTGTTGTACTTTCATCCCAAGGACAGCCATTTTCAAAAGAATATTTTAAGCAATTTAAATTACCACCATAAGCAGCCGCTTCTGTTGTTCTTTCATCCCATGGACATCCATTTTCATATGCATATTTTAAAATTTCTATTTTACCGTTTTGTGCAGCTACTATTGTTGTTGTTTCATCCCATTTACACTTATTTTTATGAGCATATATTAAGCAGTTTAAATGACCACCAGAAGCAGCTGCTTCTGTTGTTCTTTCATCCCACGGACATCCATTTTCATATGCATATTTTAAAATTTCTATTTTACCATTTTGTGCAGCTGCTATTGTTGTTGTTTCATCCCATTTACACTTATTTTTATGAGCATATTTTAAGCAATTTAAATGACCATTAAAAGCAGCTGCTACAGTTGTTTTTTCATTCCAAGGACAGCCATTTTCATGTACATATTTTAAAATTTCTAAATTACCACTAAAAGCCGATGTCTCTGGAATGTTTTCATCCCACGGGCATTCATTTTCATGTGCATATTTTAAGCATTCTAAATGACCATTAGATGCAGCTGCCTCTGTTGTACTTTGATCCCATGGACATTCATTTTCATGAGCATATTTTAAGCAATCTAAATAACCATTAATAGCAGCTGCTTCTGTTGTGGTTTCATCCCATGGACAGTCATTTTCATGTGCATATTTTAAACATTCTAAGAACCCATTAGCAGCAGCTTGTCTTGTTGTATCTTTGTTCAATACGTATCCATTTTCATGACATAATATTAAATATTTCAAATTAGCATCATCAACATGTTTTCTTTTCTTACAGTATTCAAGTCGTATTTCATCGTCATCCGAATGTTCAATTGCTAAATGTGCATATGTTTTTAATTAGTTTATATGCTATTGAAAATAGCATATTACAAAATATTGTATTTATATATAATGTTATTTAAAAAATATTGGTAAATTTTATAATATAAGGTAAAATTGAATGAGTTTTGTATTTAAAAATTAATAAATTACGCATTAAATTTTAATAACAATAAAAAATTTTTGTATTTTTTTGACGTTTTTTAGATCTGTATGACATATTATAATACATTAATCATATATATTTTAATATGAATAATTATAATTATTTTTGAATACTATTTAAATAAGATTGTTTCAAATTTTAATTCAAATAAAAATATAGTTAAATTAAATTGAGGGCGTTCATTATCTTTATTAATTATTTGCTCATATAAATTAGTTTTTTAGATAAATGATGGTAAATAATTAGCAATCTTTTATACATTTTATAAATAATTATAAAATAATTCAATTTATTATTATTTAAATAATTTTTTACTTTCATTATTTGATATTTAAACTTTATAAACCTTTTTTTAAATACATAATTAAGCTTAGTGAAAATATGCTAATGTCAATTTTTCATTTTTTTTTAAGGATTTTTAAGAATAATTGTTAGATTAACTTTTGATAATATGGACAAAACAAAGTCTTAACATTAAAACACGCTGTTTAGAATTAATTTTAAATTATTTATTTTAGATGACAACAATGCAAATTTATTGGTATATATTTTTTTAAATGATATTATTAAACAAAAATTAGAATAAATTAAATGCCTTTTTTTTTTAATAAAATAAAACAAATAATGTGTCCTATTATAAAACACATCGTTATTATATAGTAAAAAATAAATAAAGTTCTTGAAAAGTGTATTCAAAAAAATATTCTTTACAGTTTTCCTATTATTTTTTTACAAGCGACTTGCATTTAAAAAAAGTTTATTTTTTCGTTTTAATATTTTTGTCTTCTTTTAAGGTTAAGAGAGGGGGGTTAATCTTCTTTTTAACCACTCATAAGTACATGTATATACTTTTTGGGTAAGATTAATTTAAAGTGTACCTAAGCATATATTATATTGTTTGAAACAATTGCCTGTTTCCTTACATTTTAAACATTCTGTGTAAAACATACAAGTATTTTACTTTTAAAGATATTACGTAAATCTTTCGAAAAACAAACATGATATAATATGGATAGTTATAAACTTAAGAGGCATGAATAATATAAAATAGAATTTACCTTCAATAAATATCAAACAACAAATTATTAACAAAAAATATGTCAATTGCCAATTCTAGAATAAAATAAATAATGATTTAAGATTTCAATCGAGCATTTCATGTATTTCACTTCAAGTGTATTACTTACCACCATCTTTACTTTAAATGTTGAAATCTGAATAACTAATGACATTCTTTTTATTACATGCGTGTATTTATATATAAAAAATCCACGAAAAAATTTAAAATTTTTTTCATTTTTAAATTTAAAAAGAATATTTTAAGTAAATAAAAAATTATAATAAAAAACCTGTGCGTGTTACGAGTATGCTCTAATGAAGTGAAACTTCTTTCAGAGTACTGATAGAATATTAGGTTTGTGTTGAAATAAAATAAAATAATACACCTTAACATAAAAAAAAAATGTGTCTTTAAAAAATAAGGGATTATTTAAAAAGTAATTAATAGCTGATACATCAAGAATTGATGTATATAACTAAAAAAATCAAATTTCATTTTTCCAATATTGTATTTATTTTGCAAGTAACCTAGCGGATTATAAATTTTATTTAATTATTATTTATTATTAAAAATTTGCTTATTTCATAATTAACAAAAATAAATAACAAATAAATTATTAATATAAATAATAAATAGTATCTAAAATATATTTTTAATAATTATTATAATATAAAGTGCAAATCATATTCATAAATTGTATTTATTTATTTTAATATTTATATAATTTATGAATACTTATTTATTTTAATTAATATAATTATAAAAATAAATAGATTTAATTAAATCTTAATATAAAACATATTTAAAAGCACAGAACAGTGGGTTTGCGGCACATTGGGGACGTGGCATAGTTGGATCCAGTATAGATTTAATCAAACAGTGATTAAAATCACTATCATAAGAAACGCTTTGATGAAAATCTATAGATAGTGTTAAATTATGAGAAATTGGTGGATAATTACAAAAGCAACATCAACTTCTATTTCCTTAATTAAATCCAGATTAGTAATTCTTAGATTCAAAAATATAATTTTTATAATTGTTTTCATATTATTATTGATTTTGATTTTTAATATGTTAAAAGTAATCATTTTTAAAATACTTTTTTTGTGAAAGTTTATAATAAAAAAAAATGAATTTATTGCCATAACTTTTAGCTCAACTTGCAAGTTTTAAATTGACATTATTAAATAGTAAAAAATGGTATTGTTAAGATTAATATGAAGTATGTAAATTTTATAATTACTATTTACGGTAAATTTATCAGAGAAGTTCGATTTTTTTTGCATTTTTATCGAAATAGATCATTTAAATAAAAATCATAGTATTCATTTATTATTAACTTTTGTTGTTTAAAAATATTTTACAATTGAAATATACAGAACTGAATTAATTTTAATGATTTACTTTAACTAAAAAAACCAATTAAAAAAAAATTGTTAAAAAGATCTTTTTTGAATTGAGTGTATTATAAAATTTGATTATAATTGTAAAACTTCATTGTTAATTCAGGAAAAACTAACAATCATTATTTTTAGAAATGATTTATACAGCAACATGTTACCAAAAAAATTGGAATATTATAATCTAGTAGTAGTATACAAATAGAGTAAAAATTATTAAATTACAAAGTAAAATTATTTAATTTTGTAGATGAAAATTTTATCATATCAAATTAATTCGGCAATAAATACTTTAAAAATATTAGAAATTAATGATTTTAATAGTTTGTAAAAGTTAGTTAAGCTACTTTTTATTTAATTAAGGGATTTGTTTTCATTTTTTGAGGGTAATATCTTCAACTAAATACGCATAGTAATCATTTAACGTATCGTTAAAAAAAATAGGTCAAATGAGTGTTGGGAAAATAAATCGCAGCCACAAAAAAAAATCACATAGTAAAATAATATTTACCTGAATAAGAAATTTCTTCTCACAAGGAGAGACTACAGCGATGGGATCCTTAATATTTATTGAAGTTATTGAATCTAATTGAGATAAAAATCAAATGATTTGAACATTTTTTTCTAACTCAAAAAAAATGCAAAATATTAATTGCCACAGGCGGATTCAAACCTCGCACCCTGACCGTGAAAGACAAGTGTTATCGATTCAGTATTTCCGTAACATTTTCAAAAGTTAAATTGAAAAAGTGCTACTTTTTATACGTAAGTTACAGTTTTGAATGCCCCCTGTATAAAGTAAAATTGTCAAATTTAAATAAAAAGTGTGTTAAATAAAAGAAGTATATATATTGAAAAAAAATTTGTGTTAATACAAAATTAATACATTATTCTAAAAGTTATAGGAGTTTAAACTTGAAAATATAAAATCAAAAATTTTAACACAAAAATAGCATATTTATAACTACGGCAGCTATTTTCACATAGAAGATAAGTCGTGGGGACAATTTTTTTTTCAATTTCATACTACATAACATAAGCTTTAATTTAAGATCTTTAATTTAATTTAATTTAATAAAAGTGTCAGTATTTCTGAAACTCTTTCAAAGTTAAGTTGAAAAAGTTAATTTTTTATGAAGTTGTCATTTTGATTCCACTCCTGTGAGTTAAGTGTTAAATATTCAAAAAAATAAAAAGTAAATATTTAAGGTTTCAATAAAAAAAAAATTATTTTGATTTGCTCATTTTTAAAAAAATTATGATAGTTTAAAAAAAAATTAAAAGAATTACTGATTTTTAAAATTGTAATTTTTTTGGAGATTTCCCCTAACGGGGAAATATTAATATTAACGGGGAACGAGGAAAATTTTTTCAACTATTATAGGTAATGTCTTCAACTAGATACGATTTGTGATCTTATGACGTATCATTAAAATAAAATGGTCCAGTGAAAGCTGAGAAAAAATGGCAACAGACACAAAAAAAAATTTTTTTAAAAATAAACACATTATAAAATTAAAGCTGAAAAGGTTTTCAGCTTTGCAACGAAGCTAAAAAATAATGTTGACATCTTTTTATTTACTTTATTAGGAATAATATTAAAAAGTAATTATTAGCTGATAAATCAAGAATTATATGTAACTAAGAGAAATCAAATTTCATTTTTTCAATATTGTATTTATTTTACAAGTAATCGAGTGGTGAACCGATATCGATAATTTTTTTTTTATTTACATTATTATTTAAATTTATTTTATTCATTTTTTATTAAATAATATTAATCTTACAAAGTAGAGGTGATAGAAAAAATTGCAGATTTGAAATCAGCGTGAAATTGAACTAGAAAAGTATATTTTTGACTCTGATGAAAATATCTTGTAGACCAATGTATTCTTTATTAACAAAAAATTATTTTCTGAAAAGTCTATTTATTTATATTAATATAAATTGCAAACAATCGTGTAACATAAACGTTTATTGAACACTTGTGCTCATCAAATGTTTATTAAACTTATACGTTCAAAGGAGGATAAAATTTTAACCGTATACCTAATTGAACAATAGAATCCGTTTAACGAATGTTTATGTTCGCAAAATAATAAAATTTTGACCATATACTTAATAAAACAATAGAATCCGTCTGTGGCAACCAAACGTGACCGACCGTGATCCCCAAACATTTTTTTTTCGACCCTCTGAAAAAATGTTTCACTTCAAAAATAAAACTATTCCAATGAAATAAGATATCGGGTGGCACTACTGGATGTTTTTTCTTCAAACAAGAAGAACGTTTTACCTTTATTCATGTCAATTTAAATAAATTTTTTATAATAATTGCTTATTATATTACAGATGTACAGATTATTATTAAAAATAAAAATTATGGTAAATGGTTTTACATAATTGAATAAATTGATTGTTGTATAATGTGTGCTAAAGGTGTAATTACAGTCAATATCAAGGGGCAAAATCGTATATTATCATTATAAATTTATCTTAAAAAATTTTAATTTAATAAACTTTTAATCTTGTATAACGTACTAATAGCGTCATAACGTAATGAATACTTCATTTCCAATGGATTTCAAAATATTCAAACAAAAAACTTTTAAGTTACTTCAAAAACCATCAAGAATACTGACATTATTTCAAGAAAATAATATGTATAGATTAAATAATTTTTTTCGTTTATGTGAATCACGTATTTTAATCATATTTCTGAAATTTATGAAGTCAATTCTTATTTTTGTAATTTAAAATATACATTTTGAGATTATAAATTCCACAAAAAAAGTTTTTTTTCTTACACATTATTAATTAAACTATTAAAGCTGCATTGTTTTGTTAGAATGGTCTCGCTTACAATATGACTTTAAAAAAAGTAATTTTTGTAGAGACTCTAAGTTANTAAACTATTAAAGCTGCATTGTTTTGTTAGAATGGTCTCGCTTACAATATGACTTTAAAAAAAGTAATTTTTGTAGAGACTCATGATAACTCATGTATATAACTCATGAACTATTAATAAACATAAGATTCGTCCTCATAGCTAATAAATTCATTGTCCAATTTGTACGCTTACTTTGGATATATTAGTCAAGGCCATTACAATGATAACTGTACCTAATGAACAAAGGCTGCCCTTTCTTTTGACATTATCTCCTTAGGAGATCCTATTTTTCGTGTAAAGTATTTTTTAAAATACTCAAACTTTCCCTAATTTGCCTAATGCCTATAAAAATTATGTTATTGAACTCTTGTTTCACTATTTTTCTATATAGTTAAAACAATACTTTTATTACTCACAGTGCATTATGCCACATTTATCTGCTGTAATTTATAATACTATATTTTAATTTTTTTCTATTGTCATATTTATTAATTGTGTATTGCTTAGTAATAAATTATTGTTGAATAAAAATAATTATTTTTATTGATGTATCGACAATATGATTGTTTAAAAACACCTACCATAATAATAGAACAAAAAAAATATGCTTGAACATATAATCTTTACAAATAATTTCTAACAAAACACATTAAAAAAACATATTATTTGACACATAATACTATTTATATTTCTTTTTAAAGTTATGTTATTTAATTTAATTAGTATAATTTTATGTTGAAATTATTTTGTTTATACCACTTATGCGAGTTTCTAAATTCTTGAAGAAATAAACATGTACACACACATGGAGAAAAATATATATATATTTTTTGTTCAAATTTGATGAGATGAAACGATTTATCAGTTAAAATATATAATGACTATTGTCATAATTTTATCTTCTAACCTTGAAGTATAATTGACTGACTTAACTATTTTTAAACATGTCTTATCAAACAATTGCATACAAATTTATTTTATTGCAAAACAGACATAGATTAAATTTCGTAACTCAAATTTGTTTCTTAAAAACATACGGTAGACCATCAGTTTATTTTTTATGTGCTTTGATGTTCTGCGCATGTTTCATAATTTTCCAAAAACAAATAGGTAATTTATATAATAAAATGATAACTTTAAATAATATTTTAAATTGAAATGCATTTTGATGAACATAAAATAAAGTAATATAAAACGTTATTTATAAAGATTTGATTATAGTATACATAATACATATGTTATCAATTTATAATGAGTTTTAAAATAAATAGTATTTATAATTTTGAAATAAATTTAATTTTTTTTTATTAAAGCTTTTAATACGTGTTGTTATTATAGATTAATAATTAACGAGAAATGTTTCAACCAGTGATGGCTCATGGGTGCTGGTGGTGGGGGTGCGACTTTAAATATAATACTACTAGTTCTAGATATAAAAAATTGTCAAATTAAATATAATAAAATAAAACACATATTATTATTTTAAAGGGCGCGGTAGAAAATAGAAATTAAAATAATAATAATAGCGATTATACTATTATATTTACTTGAAACTTTCAAGTAAAATATTTACACTTAAATTAAAATTTAATTTACTTAATATACAGAGTGATCTACTTATCATGAACCACTTAATAAATTTAAAAATAAGAATTATATCAATAATTTTTTTTTCTTATAGTTCAATGTTTCCTTCCACTTTGAAATTATAAAATTTTTTTTGAGTTCATCTCTTTTGTCTTTTAAAGATGTCAACTTTAATTTTTTAAATGGCAACATAATTAACTAGTTTATTTAATAGATAATGATTTAATTAAGAAAATTACTGGTTGATAACAACTTTTTGAGAAGTATTTCGAAAGTTAATGATATTTTTATTTCTAGACCAGAGGAAGAGTGTCCGAGAAATGACTAGTAATTAAAGTAACAAAACCCACGTTTAATTCTAGCCATTACTATAAGATATTAAAAACTTCGAAATACTTGTACAAACATTGTCATTGATCAGTAGTTTGCTTTATTATATTATAAATATACATTATATATTAAATAAAGTAGTTAATTATGTATGTTGCCAATTGAATAAAAAATTAAGTAGACACCTTAATGATATATATAGGTAGAACACAAAAAAATGATTGATAAATTGAGAAAAAATTCTTAATACTATTATTATTACTTTTTATTTATTTAAGCCGTTCGTGATAAATGAATCATCCATATAGTTTTTTGGAAGAGCCTAACATTTTCTCTTATGGGTATAGCCAGTGGGTTTCGACCCTCACACTCCCATGTGTATATTTCTAGGTCAATTTTTATAACCGTTGTTAATTAGGTCTGAGACCATTTCATTTTTATTAATTAAATAGATATATATTTACAACCATCGACAATTTGGTTTACACCGATTGGAGGATTGGTATATCCTGGGGGAATTTTGTGGTTTCTTGTAGCCTGCTGCACGGGAACACAGTGTTTGTTTTGTCATTGTAATAGTGGACGTTTAATCACCCATCCATTTATCAACGGCGGTAGGCATGACGTAATATTAGAGTTTATCAACAACTAATATAACCACCAAGCAACACCTTACTACATATGTATGGACTAGAGCTCTGCATGGTCCGAATTTTCAAGGACAGGACCGTACCATAGAGAAAAACTAAAAAAAAAACCGGACTGAACTATTATATGAAA